ATATATATATATATATATATATTTTAAATAAGATCAATTATAAACACATCATAAAACAAAAAATATTTTAAGGTTACAAAATTTTTTTAAAATATTTCAAAATGAATATATTTACATTATTACTTTAACACTAATAATTTATTATATAAAAAAAATTATACTTTTTAAAGGAAGGAATGAAATAATATAAATTTTAATATAAATAATATAAATTTATATATATTTCTTATATTTTAATTATAATAACAATAATAATAACAATATTATATATATATAAATATATCAATATTATACTCATTAGATAAATTATGAATAAATATGAAATAATCAATATGTTCTAGTAACCTGTAAAATACGCTTAAAATCACTAACTTTAAATACGAATAATTTTTGAACAAATGAATTCTTAAATTTAAAATTAACATTTTTAGATTTCATCAAAAAATATTAAATAATGCAAAAAAAATAATTTTTTCAAAATAAAGTTTAATCAAATATAGCTATTTATAATATATTATTTCACTGCTAAATTATTTACATAATTTATCATAGCAATATAATTGCTAAAAACGAACATTTTATGAAAATACAAGATTACTAATTAGTAATTTCTAGTAAATTGATTGATTATAGACTTTTTTATTGAAGCGTCGAATAGAAACATTTGCTGAACTTACTTTTATTATGGCTTATAGGCACTATTACCAGAACGAAGAAAAAACGAAAGAATTGAAAGAAAAAATAATATAATTAGTGAACTTTCAACGGTATGATTCTACAACATACTATAAACAAATGGGGATATGTAGATGTAAAATAAGAATGACAATGAAAGTAATCTCTTAATGTCATTCCTTCAAGAAGGAATTCTGTGTCAACGCTATTAGGTATTTAAAATTAGTCAAGAAAGGTTTTCTTTCCTTGAGTGAAGTTATATTTTTTTAGCATTATTTTTCATAATGCGCATCGGTATATGTAATATAAATAATATTACAAAATTATAATATAAGAAAATAAGTTGATTAATCATTTTTAGTCTGTAATACGATAATAACGTAATAACGATCTTATTAAAATCGAATTAAGAAGATAAAAGATAAGATCTCAAATATAAATATAAAATATTATATAAATATTATTATATTATTAGCTATTTTTTTATTATTTTTTTTTATATTATTATTATATTTTATTATTTATTAGCTATCGATATTTACTAGTTTCCGATAATAATAAAATTTTTTTTTATCTAGAAAAAAAAGCTTTCTTGATTGATTTTGATGATTTTTAAATATAGGAAAAAATTTTTGAACAACTTTTTTGCTATACATATAATTACCATTTCATCTTAGTTTTCGAAATATTTATAAAAAAATATTGCTATTATTATTTTATAGAATTTTATACATATATCTGTAACTGTGTATATGCAATTATTATTTCTATAAATTCTATAAAATTTTATAAATTCAATCTATTTTTATAAATATATCACAGATGCCCAATATATGTAGTAGATTGGTTGAAAAGCTTATAGATTATGATAGGTTTTATAAAATATTATAAAATTTTTTATTATAAAATTTTTACAAAATTTTTAAATTCAATCCATATTAAGTTTAAACATTCCATAAATCCAAAGGAGATCATTAAATAATATTTTCTAATATCTAATAATATCTAAAGCTAATGAATTGATTAATATAAATTTTTTTCTAGTCATCATATTGATAATGCTAACAATGATTATTATTTTACTAATTATATCATATGCAAATTTGATATAGATTATATGTCAAGCTCATTACAATTCATGAAGAGTAAATTTTTTATGAGTTCGCACATTATGTATGTTTAATTGTTTGTTACCACAATTGTTACCATTTACATTACAAAGGATAAGTGATATATGCTTATACAGATATTGTATATAGAAGAAATTCTATATAATACTAATAATTTTTTTTTTAAATATCTCGAAAACTAAGACCAAATGGAAATTATAGATGCATAGAAAAAAGTTGTTTAGAATGATGATTTTTATAAAATTATATACATAAAAAGTCATAAAAATCGGTAAAGAAGCCTTTTTTCTAAATAATTACCATATATTACAACAACTACTTCAAAGTCAATTATGTACAATAGGTCAATTAAATCCATATTTATTATTAGTATCTATAGCAAATTTGGCGATTAATATTATATTTAGAATCTATCCTAATTATTAAATCTATCGGCCAAGAATTTGTTTTTAATTATGTTTAATGTCTTGAAAACAAGATTGTAGATGGATAGTAATAATAATAATAGCACTTTATATATATTTGAGCCAATATCGTTATTATATCATTTGACATTTGACAATTATTACTATAGCGAAGATTATTATATTATTAATAACATCTAGATAAATAGCGTTCGATATATTTAAAAACGTTTATAAACACAATTTTCAATGTATAGTTTTTCTTCAATATTTTAGAAACTAATAAATAAAGTTATAATTTTAAAAAATCATTTTTTCAAATTTATATAATCGAGGCCTTTCGAAATTACAATCAAGATTATAATTAATATATAATATAATATATAATAATATAATTAAAAATATAATCATTTTTTATAATAAAAAATTTTCTTTAAAATAACAAATGCAAAAATATTACAACAAATATTATAATTATATTATATTATATTATATTATATTACTTCTATTTTGTTTTATCATCATGTATTTAATAATTTAATAATTAATTAATTAAATAATAATTTGATAATTATTAAATTAAAAGTTTACACAATATAAATAATAAAGTTATACTTATTAATAAAAAAAAATTTGAAATAAATACTTCAGATTTATTTAAATTTAACTTTAATTTAATAATATTATTAATAATAATATAATTAAAAAAATAAATATTATAAGATACAAAACATCTTTACAAATATAAATTTCAAAATTACACATTTTTGGTCCAAAATTAAGTATTTAATATGTGCATATAATATACAAATGTGATATTAACATTTATTAAATTGTTGTATGTGTATTAATGTTTGTTTTATTATTTCAACTAACTTATCTCTAGCAAAACATGCAAATTCTTGAAAAATATGATCATCACAATTTTTATTATTTAAAGTTAAAATAATTTTTAAAGGATTTTTCTTTTTAAACATACATATAAAATCTAAACTTATTCTATTTGTCCCTTTTTCCTTATTGTAATTTTCTAGTACTTGTTCTGATATAAAAGCTTCCTTTTGAAGACAACTCAAACTGGGATCTAAAATAATATTGTTAATTCGTCTATTACGCCATACACAATGAGATCCAGTACAATGAAATATAATATTTTGCAGTTCGTCTATACGAATATCTGATAATATATCAATCTTTTGCTGTTTTGCTCCTGTTTCAACTGGAAATATTTCAAGTTGTAATTTGAAAACTTTTTCAAAAGTATCTTTTACTATATTAAAAACATTAGAATACCAATCTTTTCTGGAAAATTTTTTTTTTCTATATCTATATATGTTTCCATATTATTTGTTTCACATTGAAATTGATTTGCAGAAATAGTAATATTAAATTTAAGATTACTTTTCTTTTTTATAACTGTGGTAAATAAAGTTTTTATTAGATTTCTATAATTATTTTTGCTAGTCATTGCACAAATTTCTGCACCAATTGCACAATATTTTACAAGAGAATTTAATGTAGAGAACTTTGTATTTGCTGTAACATTATGACTTAATTCTATAGGATCTTGTACACACATTGGTTTGTTAATAATGAATTTAAGATTATCATCTTCTTTTACATATGTTTTATATCTATTCATACATAATGGTAAATTTTCTATTTCTTTAAACTCTGATTCTGTATGTATCATTCCATCTATTGGACATATTACTTGTGATTTATATTCAAAAGTTGCATAAAAGAAAAAAAAACCATGAAGAAGTTGTGGAATACTATTCTTATTTGTAATTGGTGGTAATACTGTATTTTCATCAAAATTAGCTTGCCAACCATTTATAATTTGTGGTTGACATGTATTTTGAAGCACCATCAAAGGTGGAATAATATTAACAGATGGTTGTTGTAAATAAAAGATAATTAATAAAACTAAAGCATAATTGGATATTTTTTGTCCATTTGATATTTTAAAATGTCGTGCCCAATATTTAATAATCATCATTAATGGTTTCAATCTGTTATCAAGAGACAAACAATATTTTATTAAATAACTTTTATATATACCTAAAATATTTTTAAATGAAATATCACAAGAAACATTTGTTCTATTATAATAAAATTTTATAATAGGAGTTTTCGCTTTTGGAATTCCTATTATATTTGAAAAAACATCATTCATTCTGTACATAATTTTTTTCACATTTTTAAAAATCTTGTTCATAGTCCATGAATCTGTGGATGTATTTTTATTTTCATTTATTGGTTCACCTTGAATAGAAATAATATATAATATTA